CTGTCTGTCTGTCTGTCTGTCTGTCTGTCTGTCTATCTATCTATCTATCTATCTATCTATCTGCTTGATGAACTGCAAATCCCAGATGGCGTCGCGGGGGCGTGTCGTCACGTGACCTAAGCAAGGTGTTTTCACATGAGCGCGAGGAGAGGAGAGGAGAGGGCTCGCAGAGGTCAGAGCTCAGAGTGCAGGCGGACCGCGGAGAGACACGCTCAGTTCATCTACAGGAGGATGGAGGTGGAGAACCGACCCAACGGATTTGACTTCTCCAAACGGGACAAATTACTGAGCAGCGGTGAGTTTCTGCTGCTCGTTCACAGTTATGCGGTCTCAGATGAAAATTAAGACGCTTCAGTTACAGTTTTGAATCTTATTATAGATTCACGAGGGCATAATTCGGGAAAAGTGTATTGTTTTGCTTTATTGTTTCTCAAAGTATCCTCTCCAGGTTTGTTTTAAATAGTGTGGTCTACCTTTAGAGCTTTCTCAAAGGAATTTTGTGCAGTGTTTATGCAATTTGTAATTTTACCCCTGTATGGAGTTAAATGTGTGTAATGTGATGAATGGACGTCCAGAGCTGGAGTTTGGGGGACAGTGAGGTCTTTTAAAGCGCTGCTGAGGAATGTTTTTTATATGCACGTCCGCGAGGAATCGTAAAAGATGAACTTTTGAACTTGAGCGAATCACCCTCGAGCGCCACAAAAACACGTCAATGACAACAAACAAGCAGCTGTAGCATTTTTAATTAGTGAAAATAAATCGATGAAGAGAAATAAAATGACAGATTGTATGTAAAAAAAATTTTTTTTTTAAATGTTTGATTGCATTTATTAATTCATTTACATTGTTTCAATTTGTAATTTTACCCCTGTATGGAGTTAAATGTGTGTAATGTGATGAATGGACGTCCAGAGCTGGAGTTTGGGGGACAGTGAGGTCTTTTAAAGCGCTGCTGAGGAATGTTTTTTATATGCACGTCCGCGAGGAATCGTAAAAGATGAACTTTTGAACTTGAGCGAATCACCCTCGAGCGCCACAAAAACACGTCAATGACAACAAACAAGCAGCTGTAGCATTTTTAATTAGTGAAAATAAATCGATGAAGAGAAATAAAATGACAGATTGTATGTAAAAAAAATTTTTTTTTTAAATGTTTGATTGCATTTATTAATTCATTTACATTGTTTGTTTAGAATAGTATTATTAATAATACATTAAATATGTATTTATTTAAATATATATTTTTGTTTTTGTAAGATTGGGAGAGTAGTTGTCTAATGCTTTTTTTTTTAATCTGGAAAAACATTTAAAGTTGAATATCTTTGCTCTGTTTACTAATAAAGCCCATATTTGGGTTATTATGGGCTCTGGTGATCCTGAGATCATTCACTTTTAAAACTAAATATTTTAACTAAATAAAGGTTTTTTTGCCTTCATCTATGATTCCACAAAGAACCTTTAACATCCATGGAATACTTTGCATCTATAAAGGGTTCTATAAAATGAAATCTATAAAATGTTCTTCACACTAAGAAAAAAA